GTCATCCATCACATTGACGTCGTCGACCAACTCATCTCGAGTAAATCCGAGTGAGTAATAATTTTCTGTTTGCAAAATAGCTAAACTAGGAGCGACTAAAGAGTTGATAGAAGAAACTGTACAATTCCTTGTGGTTTTTATTGGGTAGTTTGTTGAAAACAAATTTTTGAAATAATTACTGCTCTCGTAAGCAAGAAAACTTTCCCCGCTCTCCATGGAATTGATTTCAGTCCTTTTTAGCTCTACTCAATGCTGGACATGGCAAAAGCAGTTGCGGTTTTATCTGGTTGGAGATGGTGTAGTAGCGCGGCAAGTGAACAGCGAATTCTCCTATACCTACGAATATCAGGTGAGTTTAGCCTTCTCATACTCCAACACCATTCGCACATACGATGGTTTAGGGAAATACCTCGAAGCTAGTTCATACACCGTTAACAGACAAATGCTATCTCACACTCACCCAAGGTAAGAAAAGTTGTCTCATAAAATTACAAAGAATTGGAATGTGTTCCCATTTTAATGCTATACCTTGTCTTTTGCAGCAATGTTCATGGGACTCGGTGGTAATCCGTACGGACCTGCTGGCACCGGCAAAACTGAGTCTGTCAAGGTAAAATTCACTGGATTCAGCTTATCGGGGAGGAGAGCCTGCTTTTCATACTACTTGTTTTTTGGAGATCCGAGGCAAGATTGAGCATGATCGCGTTTGAGCTCAATGAGTAAACGAGTTAGGGGCAATAGGGTGGACCGAAACCTGAGAAATTTTAATTTTTGCAATAAAAATCATAATGCAACAACTTTTTCTTATCACAAGAAATTTCTTTAAAAAATATTATCTACATATCTATCTATTTACACACAGAAAAATCCACCATAGAAGTGAATAAATTGGTAATTGGTTGCAACTATTACTATAGGGCATAAATGGAAACAAAACAGTATGCAAGCGGAAATTGTTTCATACACTCTTTAATTCGCAATCACGCGAGATCACAAAAAATGGAATTAAGGTTGATGAAGCACTAATTAAGTTCAGGCTTTAGCTTTTATTGGCATAGACGTTGAGAATCAGCCCCCAGTGGTAAGAAAGTTCCCCATGCTGGTTACATATGAATGCGATGTTTTTGGAAAGAAGTTAGTAAGGAAGTTAGCGAGTTGAATTTAGAGATTTGACCAATCTTAACTATTTGTATAAAATGATAAGTAATTGTGAAATGACCTTAGAATTCAGGAACCAGTAAATTTTCTTCAACTCAAAGCATTAAAGCCAGTGAGTCGCAAACAAAATTACAATTCTTGAATAAAAGTCTGCCTTCACAACGATCTGCAACGATTCCAACATGTTTAAGGCTCTTGCATCGCTTTTCGGACGACAAGTGTTGGTTTTTAACTGCGACGAAGGAATTGATGTTCACTCTATGAGGTAAAAATTAATTACTTGGTTGCTTTCTTATTTTTTCCAAGTCGAACTCAAATAAAAGTGAACTATCAATCTTAGAATTGTTTTTTAGCCGAATTTTCATCGGTATCGTACAGTGTGGGGCATGGGGCTGTTTTGATGAGTTCAATAGATTAGACCAGGTAAGATTTCCAATCTGCCTTTTATTGTTACTGTACTCTGCTGAGTTCAGACCGTGCTATCTGCGGTTTCCATGCAAATTCAAACAATCCAAGATGTCATCAAATCAAAAAGTGGCACCTGCACGCTTGGAGGAAAAACGGTAAGGAAATCTAAGAATGAGATCAGCTTAACGAAGATTCAATGTAGGCTACCGTGGACTCAAATGCCGCGATCTTTGTCACACTGAATCCAGCCGGCAAAGGATATGGTGGCAGACAGAAATTGCCTGATAATTTGAAGCAGCTTTTCCGACCAGTCGTCATGTCTGTTCCCGATAATGATGTGATCGCTGAGACTATATTGTATTCCGAAGGTTTTACCGAAGCACGGATCCTCGCACGAAAAATCGTAACAATTTTTATGCTAAGCAAGTGCGTAGCGCTCACATTCATAAAATTCTTTTTTTTTTGCGCAAAGCTCTAGAAAAGAAATGCACATTCTATTTCAGAGAGATGTTATCTGCGCAGCAGCATTATGACTGGGGTCTGAGAGCTCTTAAGGTACGCTATATTACGTCAAACCAGACTTTTTCAGTAACACTCTATTCTTTACAAGGACAGAAGATTTCTTCCTGGAGAGTGGATCCAATTCTTTGCGCTAAATAATTTTATTTCTAAGGTTGTTCTTCGTGGTTGTGGCGACCTACGCGCTTCCAAACCAGAAGCTAATGAAATCGATATTGTAGTTCAGGTTATCGACACATTATTTCTCTTTTCTTCGTTTCTCTTAAAATAATGTAATTTGTCTTGTAATATAAATAGTAGGTTATATGACGTTATTTTTGCCAAATCAGAGAGTAATTTCTGTACTTTAATGATCAAGTGAGATCGATAGGTTCTTCTCTAAGATTAAATATATATGATTCTATTAACTGATTCTACTTAATAAACCGTTGCTTTATATTTTTCTCTTATGAAGAAAACTTCCAGGCTCTCCTCCTTAATACACTCTCCAAGCTCACCTCGTCAGACTCGAAGCGATTCAAAGTACTTATCGATGACATCTTTTCGACAACAAATAAGGAAATGGCCACTGTAAGAAAAAATCATGTTTTTTTT